ATGATCAGTACTCATCCTGGGAAAACCAGATTCCACAGCAGTCCACATTCAATTGCCAAGCTCTGACACCTACCTCTGTACTTGTTGAGTGTGAGTGAAAATCCATCACATTTACCTCACAAGCTGTGCTTATTTTTACCAGACTTGTTTGTAAAATCACCTCCCAAATAATTCAAACAGTAACTCTCCCCTTACCAACAATTTTTAAGGACTATTTATGCACAAAAACAATTTAAAGAAACTTACTGAAATACCTTTAATGCTCCTCTACCCAATATTGCTCCTGGTACAAAACATCTCTTCCCTCCAATTTCTCGTGTACTCCACCCAAGCCTCATCATGTTGGTACCTCACAAACTACAACCTGTTAGAGAAAGGACGGACTATGTGCATGCCCATTTGGTAATTCCTGCCAACACAAAAGGGAAGACGAGATTCTTTCCTTCCCTTCCCCACAGTGATGAAAATAATGACTTGGATGTAGCAAGCCAGCTAAACACAAGCACAGAAACAGTAACACCCTAGTACACAAGACCTCCATTCTGACAGAAACCAGTTCTCATTGGGTGCAGGAGTGACCGGGAGGAGCCAGGGGTTATCTAGGGAAGAGGACATTCACATGGAGATAGGGCAATTCTGCATGTCTCATTCCCTTATGAAACAGGGCTAAAACTCATAAAACATTCAGAACTCTTCAATATTACTGCAATTCACTGACTAACAATACCAACGCCCATTAAGCAGATAATAGCGTGCCAAATCTCACTGTTTCAGAAGAAAACAAAAGTCTCTTTCCGTATCATTTTTGTGGAAGAGAACCACACTAACAGGCTGCAGCTGCTCCCCAGTAGACCAGGACAGTAAGAAGTATTGCAGATGTTGCATGACCAAGACCTGGGTAAACCTGTCTTCAGATACCATCTTGACCACATTCACAATTTATATGGCACTTTCTGCACCGACCAGGATTGGAGGAGATGGGACATTCTGCCACTTTATTTACCAGAAAATTTGTTCACCCCAACAGAACTCTGAACTTTAGCTTGTCTCAGTCTCTGGAGCAGAGTATGGTCCAACACGTACGGACTTCAGCCTCATCCCTACCTAACAGAAGAAAAGAAGCCTTGCCCACTGTACAACATTTAATACTAGGAAAACCATCTCTGGAGATGGTCTAGTGGGTTTATATACCTGTTTGCAGAGACTGACAGAATTCTTACCTTTTTCCTAATGTTTCAACAGAACTACTTATTATTTAAGCAGAGAAGTAGACGGAGTAGTCAAATGAGCTGTTTTTCCTGCAGGGCAAAGGTGCCTTTTAGAAACAGATACAGAAATACTTCTGAGTGCATTCACTTAACTTTGAAGTTTTGCACAATTTTTAGTCAGAACCCAATTGAATTATGGTTTACTTCATTTATACGTTGTATTTCCCAGTGGACATTACCTCATCAAAGAATAATTTTTGGGCTTCTCCAACCAATTTCACTGCTCCATTAGAGAAAAATCTAACAATTCACAAAGGGAAAAAAAAAAAGCTCAGCAGCCACCTGTCAAAACACTAGAATTATTTTAAAAATCTGAAATTGAGTTTGGAGTATCAGCATGTCTATGGTAAATTTCTACTTAATGTCACATTCCATGGAGTGTAAAAAGTTATTAATAAATGTTATTTTTTGTAAAATTTTAATAAAAAATGATGCTTTGCAATTTCACATTCTGAAGAGCTAAAAAACACAAGACACTTATTTACATTTCATAACAAGGAAAAAGTACAAATTACTATACAAAATGCAGTACCATCTCAAGAAAAACAAGTTTCTTTAAAGGTCTAGCAGCTAGGACATCAAAACTATTTTCTGAAGAGACACCACTTTTAAGGACTACATATCAATAACTGAACCATCCTCTTCTTCAACTAAGTTAGAAGCACTCCCATAACAATTATGACTAACGTTACTATCATTACTTTTAATTTTGGCTGATACAAATATAACCTCATAATAAAGATACTGAATTTATAACAAACCAAATTCAATATATATTCTTTCCCTTGAGGTTTCTGCCACAGAACTTTCAAAATGAGAGAAGTATAGAAACTTCTTAAGGAAACAAGCCTGGCAAAAGCTGAGTAAGTTCAGAGTTTTACAAAAGCCCTGTATTTGTAAACATTCAGGCATTGCAGGTGTTTAAAGTTCTTTCAGAATTATACATATGGCAACCACTGTATGCTATCTGATACAGATGATTTAGAGTGGAACTAGTTCAGCACAAGCTGAACCCAGGGAATGCTAAATTTCAATTCACAGTTCTATCTGAAACATGCAAGCACATTCTGATATGCAAAAGGATCTGTGACACATTTTTACTTTTAAAAACATGGAAGATCATACTATCTGGATGAAAAATTTAAAAGATCAGCTCAGTCAGACTCTTAACTACTGATCAAGTCAACTGGGAGACAGTCACCTCCAAGCATTTGGGTGCTTGAGCTATAAAAAGATAATTCACAAGTTTCATGTATGGATGAATCTGATTCTACTAGAATTTCAGACTGTGCGATCGCTGTGATACCTAGAGTAAAACGTAAGTCATATCTTGGACGTATTTCTGATAAAACAGGTGAGAACCTAAAGCATTTTATTTAATGTAGTGAAGACTAATGCAAGCCTCCTACATTATACCATGACCTTTAAAAAGCTGATAGCTATTTATTGATTTGAAAGCCAACCCAAAGAACAGACATCAGATCACAAAGTAATCTGACATCAATAAATCTGCAGTAGTTGTACTGGAGAAGTGACAGAAAAATGCTTCAAATTGAATGCTGACAGCTTTTACCAATGTAATGCTTCAGGATCATACAGTTACTGTTAAAAGGGGATCGTGTAAAAGTTTTAATCCCATTTTTCATCAAGGGGGAAAAAGAAAGCACATCATCAGTGAAAAGTAATAAGAAAAAACATTAGTCAAGTGCCCAAACAGTTTTTACATTCATTTGAACCCATGTCTCTGAAAAGGTTAAATATCCTGGGTCTGGAAAGGTATGGTCCAGTAGCGTTAGGTTTAAAAATCTGTTACTTTAATCCATGAGTATACTGTATGATTAGTAGAAAATCTTTAGCAGACACAAAAAAAAATGAAAGATGAAACTGCAGCAAGAGAGCATGACAAACCTGAGAGATCTATTAGTGCATAAATCTGCTTAAAAACTAAAAAGATAGAAAGAGAGCTAACAAACTACAATAAAAGTTATGTCTTTAAAGCAGTAAGTTGTAACAGGGTGGGAAATGTTTAATATGCACATATGCCTGCAAAGGGGTCACTATCTTTCTGAAAATAAAGAGCTATTCTTTTTCATAGCATCAGATCTATGGTAAAAAGCCATCAATTGTTTGTTTGATTTTTAATATTATGCTTTTCCCACCCTGGCAGAGAATAAACATGAATTTAGAAGCACAATAGAAGTGAAAAACAAAGAAGAGGAGAGATAGAAAGCAGCAGAGAAAGACAGAAAAGGTGAATACAGAGCTACAGAAGTGTTTATTGAGCATGCTACAGAGGTAAGCAGAGTACACACAAAATGAAATTAAACAACCGTCAAACCTCCCAACTTTGTTAGAAAATTAATTTTTAATTGTGCCACTTCCAAACTATACTGAACTTTACAATTCTAAGGATGTAAAAACTCAACTAATAGAAAATATACATGACCATTTTTTTTTTTCTACATAGATAACAGAATCTATGAATCCTGAAACTAAGTACATCAATTTTAAAAAGTATTGGTCATTTAAACAGAATCAAGGTAACAGTTCAGACTGACAGAACTGCTTTAAATTAACTGGATCTGTAGATTCTGAGCCATGTTTATAGTAAAGTCAGATCAATTTCTAAATATAAAATATTTTAAAGAGATTTATTAAAACTGAATATTACAATGCAAGGTAAATTAAGACTAAAGGCACATAAACTTTGGTCCCACCTGGTTGTCAGTTTTAAGAAACTGCCACAAAATTTCCTGCAAGCCATTTGCAGCAAACTTTCTTCCTCGCTGAAAAATACATGCACCACTTCCTGAACTAGCTTGACCAGTCTGTACATGCTCAGAAATCCACAACCATATTCCATATCTTAATTACAAACTAAAGATGGCAATATATATTGAAATGCACATAAGTCATGTCAACTTCAAAAACATCTACGAAAAATATTCAGCCACAAACAAGACATTACTTAGTGCTGACATTTATATGATACATCCCACAAGAGTGTGTACAAAAAGGTTAAGATTCCACAATGCTTTTCACGTAGGGCTTAAAGTCACAGAAGTCACTTTTTGTCCTTTAAGAAATTAATATTCTGTACTTATTAATTTTAACTAATGCCTACATTCATAACTGAATCTAGACCAGAATCATGAAATACAAAAGGCCTTTTTAAAAAAAGAGCACAAAGCAAGAAGTAGCAGAAATCAAGTAACGTCATTTTACTCTTTCAGTGTAATGCATCTTATCCAATTAAAAAGAAAAATAAGTGACAAGCCAGCATATAAAGAAATCTCTCAAGCAGGAGAAACAAAAGCTTAACCTTTTTACACACCCCTGCCTAAACATATTTAAATCATCATGTAACAATGTGCCCCAGACAACCAAATTTGCTTTTACTAGTTATGCAATTCCAGCAGTACTAGTTTTCCTTTTTAAGGCACGTACGTCAACTAAGTTGAAAAACTGTGGTATTAACTTGAAAACTTTTAAACGAAATGATGTTTTATCTAAACAACAGCTGAACAACAGCAGTTAGTATCACTGCTTTTTAATTTTTTTTTTTTATTTTTTATTATTTTTTAGAACAACCAAGGAATGATAACAGCATGAAAAAAAAAAAAAAACAACCCCCAAAAAAACAGAAGACAAACTCTGGTCCCCACTTTCCTGAACAGTCAATAGGTGACAACATCAAACAATGCAATACACCCTCTCTTCCAATCTGACATCTTAAATAGTTGACTTGGAGAAAGAAACTCTCAGATGGTGATTTTCTCCCAGATTATAATTGTGAAGATCAATCAAAGCCTGAATAGCTTCTTCTACTGTTGACATCTGAAGAAGGGCCATCTTGTGATCTCTTCTGAAACAAAATAACGGCATTAGGAACTTGAACACTACATGGGTTGCCCCTACTGTTTGCTCTCCACTATGCATTTTTCCTGAAGACATGATCCCAAAATGCGCTTAGGCAGTGTTTTGCTAAGAACTATGTACAGAAAAGGTACTTACTGAAAAAATTTAAATGCTTTCACAGTGCCTCCAGTGTTAGCAAACAATGTGCGTAGATCATCTTCTGCTACTGATGGTCTACAGGAAGAAAGAAAATAAACATTAAGCAAGAAATTATTAGTCGCTGTGATTCACGTTAATACTACAGGCTTACTGACAGCCAACACTTACGGAATATTGGACAGATGAAGTGTCGCAGAAGGAGGGAATATATTTTGAAAGTTCTTTGAACCAGGTTTTTTGAAGCGATGCAGAGGTGAGTTACCAAAATCTTTAGTCAGCCCTTGGTCATCAAGTCCCTCTCGAGGTAGTTGTACTGTCTGATGTTTGGAAAGGGTAACCCGAATAATCTTTCCATACATTTTTTGTCCATTCAGATGGCTCATGGCTGAAAAAGACAAGATTACTCAATTGAGTGTTACTTTTCAATAGTTTGTGGTATATCACACAAGTAAACAAGAAAAACACCCAAGCAAACCAAATGGTCAATGTATTAAAAAAACGAAGTCAAGAACGAGGTCTGCAGAATCTGCATGAGTATTTGATTTCATTTAAAGACCATCGCACGTGATTCAGCTGTTGAATCAATTTAAGATATCGTGCAGACCTTCTGGAAAACAAGTGAATGCAATAAGATTTTGAATCTTGTGGGTAACCAGGATACAAGACAAACTGACAAATATAAACACGCTTAGTTCACCTGATTTTACACAGCATAATTTCAAGTACTTGGACTAAGGGGAATACAAACAGAAAGCTCATCTTACCCAGCTGTGACTGGTTTCCATCAGCCATCTGTATAAGAGCACTGTCTTTCTTATTGTATAAAATCTTCACACGCTGCACATCACCATAAACACCTTTACAAAGTCAAAGGTAACCCAAAAAAAGAGTTCATTTTAAAGCCAGCCACCTCAATAGTATCTTTCGACATATCAATGGAACACTCAGACAACAAGATCACTCACTCAAACTCAACACTCTCACAAATGAATAAAGGAGATAAAGATTTTGAATAGTGAATTTTGAAAAGAATAATTTCTGATAAACCCTCAAAGCTATGTGAATGATATTAAATTAAAGACCATGCAAAATATATTAGCATGCATTAAAAGAAAATCTGTGTCTATGGAGAGTTTTAAACAGCAAAAGAAAAATAGCAAAAGATTTACTATCCAACTTTAAGCCAAAGTGCTAGCTACAAATAAGAATTAAGGTGAAACAAAAAAAAAACAAACAAAAACCAAAATCAAATCAATAATAAAAGTATAGTGCTAACAATAACATACCGAAGAGGGTAAACAGACTTTGGGGCGTAACCATCTTTAGAAGGAGAGAAGAGCAAGCAGCGTAAGACAAGAAGAGAGAAGAGTCGAGGAAGAGCGGAGATGAACAGATCATCCATAACGAAGGGTGGTTCCCGCAGAATGGTGAGGTGGTCATGGATCATGGTTTCAAGGCGGTTAATTGGGGCAAGTTGGTCCGAGGAACATTTTGTTCAAGCACAGAAGCATGAACACAGGGAATGAAGACAGGGAACATAGACAAAAGACGAGGAGAAGGGTAAGACGGGGAAGGGCATGGGAATTTGGGTAAAGACAAGGAAAGGGAAGTTGAACACAAAGGGAAAAGGATGAAATGGGGAAGGGAGTACAGCAATGCAGAAGAAAAAAAAAAAAGGAAGTGGGGAACAAAAAAAAAAATAGGTCAGTACATAGGAAATGCAGGAATTTGGTCAGAAAATGGTTGGTTTATGTACTGTACAAGAAAAACTGAGTAAAATGTAGTCACCCAAGACAAATATGGGTAAAGTACATTCATATCAAGAGTAAACTACACCATTTCATCTCAACATGAAAATAAATAAATAAAAAAGCATGCAATAGAAATTTTAAACTCTGAACTTTAACTGCGTAAGCATGGCTGGTTATGAAATGCAGGCAAAAAATCTTTCGAAATGGCGCTCTGATCTGAAACATTTTAACATGCAAGACTGTGGATGACAAAATAGTACCAGATGATAAAAAAAGCTTAATGATTTACAGTGACAGAGGCCGTTAAAAATGGAACAGCTAGACTGATACAAACTTCCCACATTTCATACCAGCTTTCACAGCCATCAAAATAAATGTAAAGGACAGTAAAAATGCAAAACTAAACAAACCCCTTTAGATTTCAGAGTTAGTGAGAAAGATACAGTTAAGGTGAAAATGCTTTGCCACTTTTTTTTTATTTTAAGACAAATGAATAACTGCAAGGAAAAAAAAAATTACTAAGAGAGACTGGAAGAGTGCCTCGTCAAGATCTTTGGGAGAACCTTCAAAGAAAAATGTGTTAGTAGTTCACATAAATTAAGACCTTAAAATGTGACATATAAGCATGAAATGAAACAGCAAACAATGAGAAGAAACAACAAATTCTAGTTTATGTGATTATAGCTGTAAAAGAAAGCATAGTTGCTATTTTGTAAAAATAAAGCTTTCAACTCAAATGTCAAACATGCAGTAGTTACCAAATTTTTCTTAAAAAAAAAAAAAAAGGTAGCCAACTATCAAAAGACATTTAAAGTTGTTAGCTACCTGGGAAAACAGAAATATTTAACAATAATAGCTTTAAAATTAATTTTGTGGTATTATTAAAAAAATCACAGCAAAAATACATTTGAGCTTAAAATCCAAATGTAAAAGGCCAAATGCAAAGAAACGATAAAATACTGACAAATGAAGTGTGACTAAAGGGGGGGTGGTGTGTGGAAATTAATTATTTCACTGACCTCTTCATTTAAATTGCTAACCAAGAGGACGGTATTGCCACCAGCTGAAACTCCAGGCATTCCCACACGGCCAGCAGCAGCAGCTGCAGCTGCAGCAGCAGCATTTGGAATAGCCAAAGGACTCAGAGCTCCTGGAACAGCTGCAACAGGAAGCCCTAATTTTAAAATAAAGCATATTTTACGAAACACACACAAGTCATTATTTTTTTTTTAAAAAAGTACCTATATCAGTGCAAGCGTTGCATACAACACCCTACAAAGCAGATTTTTCCACTGTTAAAGCTGGCCAAAGGGTTGTGAAATTAGTTGTTAAATTAACATAGGGAAATGTGAAGTCTTTACAGAGATGAAGTCTTCAAAGTTATGAGATGTGCAAAGTATTCTTTTCAAATAAACATTCCTGTGCGCCAAAACTGTTTCCAGTGTACTCCAAAATGAATCAAGTGTCTAATTTATCTAAAGTACATGTTGATCGAATCAGTAAGAATAAACACTAACTGTGCTCTCTACATCGTTACATCCTTATTTGCCGTCACCCTTTGAGAGTTATTCCTCACTTCAGTTTGATGCTTCCAACTGAATATGCAACATTGGAGCTGCTCATGTGACCTCTCTCACAGCCTAGGCACAAATAAGGTGAGGAGGTAACCTTCTAAATTCAAGATTCTAGGTAGCACGACAGGTTATGCTTTGTGGCTTCCGAAATCCAATTCCCTGAAGCAGCATGTTACTGTTACCTGAACCTTCAGCTGTGCTTTTATTTTTCTTTTTTCCAAGGAAACTCCAGCCCTGTAGAGACCTGCTGCTTCTGCTTGGTCACGTCACCGGGGTACTAGGTGACTGTGTGGTATTCACAGGATCTATGAAAAGTTCTTGTGATACGTATGAAGTATATGTAGTTTATATAGGGACAGCTTGATCATATTTGGTCAAAATTTTATTTGCACATTTTACAGAGCTCAGTAGAAGGATACAAACAAAAAAATGTGTAAAATAAAGAAGGAATTATAACTTTTGTATTTTACTTCTTTCTACTGCAATTGTTTTTGTCAAAACTTCTAATGTTTATACAATCACGCTAAGCTAACAACTTCTGACCAGTCTAAAGATAAAGTTTACACTATGTACCTAAGATTTCCTTTCCTTCCCACATTAAGTTTTATTTCAAAGGAAGCCATAAGAGAAAATAAAGTTCTTCAGTTTTAGTCAATGCCCAAATACCAACCAGATAATAGTAAATATATTCAACCATTAAAAGAGAATAATCCTATATTTAGTATAGAAAGGGAAAATATAGGAGTACAAACCAGGGGGACGGGAGGAGAGATAATCAAGGTTACTATTTTTTTTTTCCTATTTCATCAAAGAGTTTTCTATCTTCATGCCAATTCTTCATTTACCTTATGTTACTCTTACACATTTGTGAAAAACAAGTAATAAAAAAGACAGATTTTTGGAGGCTGAACAAATGACCCCTCAAAAGGAACAGGACATCCATCACTACTTTGTGATAGTGCTTAACATTATTACTGATCAAGCTCTGAAAAATAATTTTGTGGTTATTTCCTGTCAAAGCAGATACAGGAGAAAAAAAAAAACCCAAACAGTACGTGTTCTAAGAAAGGAAATTAAAGATATGGAATGCTTTCCGATAAAGTTTAAAAGATTAAAAATTTTAGCATTCAGAGGTCAAACCAGAGGAAAAGAAAGTTCTGAGCCATGACAATTCTAGTCATCTCTCATGCCACAAGACAAAGGGAAAATTCTACTTGAATCAAAAGGTAACAATTATCTTCTATTGCATTATATGCGGTATTTGTGGGACTGACAATAAAAACAACAACAAAAAAACTTGAAGAAAAACAAGATGTGTTTTTCCTCCTTCATCCATCCTGTAAAAACACTTACTAGATTTGAGACACTAGCAGATAGTCTATGGAAACAACAGCCAGTTATATTAAATAGGCAATCAAGCAACATATAATATGCTTCATCACATAAGCCAAGCACTAGCTCTGTGGAGGTCGGGAGAGCACTGCCCCAGGTATGCTTCTGTATGATAATTCATTATGAGGGCTGTAGAGTTTCCACCACAGAACACAGAAGTAACACTAACTGTCAGAGAAAGGACAGGAAATTAAGATGGACCACTGCTAGTCCAAACAGCAATTTTGTTTCTCAAAACCCATTTTGTGTGAGAAGAAAGTGTAATGCTATATACTTATATATTTGAATACCAAGACAAAAAGCTAACAAAAATATAATGCATGTTTTGCTCTCACGTTAAAGCTGAATTTTGCTTTCAAGAAAAAAACAATTAAAGGACACAGTTAAAGTACGTAACCCTGTGGAAGAAGTTTATTCCCAAAATCAGATTAAAATGCACAATACCAAATGAAACTCAAACAGCTTTAAAAAAAAATCCAGTTCTTTTGTAAAAAACTGCTTTGGAAATGTACTTGAGTGCTGTGTATTGAATATGCTGAATGTCATGTTTGTCTGCACAGGTCAGACAGACAAAAATGGGAAGAATGACGTTAAGGTCTGACAGATGTCCACTTGGTAGGTCAATAGCAACCATTTAGGTATTAGAAAATGCCAAGATAGTAGAGCATTCAAATCTAGTGAGTCTGTGCACCTCTGCCTAACCTTAGAGGCTTTAGGCCAGCCCAGTATTTTTAAGAATAAGGAGTCTAAAGGACTCAAGTTTTTATGGCTCTTTCCATAGAGAAGAAATCATAGCAGAGTAATTCATACTTTAAAAGGCAAAAAATGTCACAGTATCAGACTCTCTACAGGACATTACTTGACGCCACCAAAGAAGTTAAAAAAAGGAGATTAATTCAACACCATTCATACAAAAATATTTTCAATAATTATCCTTTGAAACAGATTAATTTGTTAAGAATCATAAGAGGCATTAATGGAAAGTGTTAATAAAGGCAGGCAGCAATGACAGCAAGGGATAAAGCTGTGGGAGCCCGAACCACAACAATGTATTTTCAGTTACAATATTAAACAAATATCTAAATCGGTGTTTAAAGTATTATAATTGCAAATATTAATATGTAATCAGCAGTTCTTATTTTTAATATTTTGTTAGTTTCAGTTCAGTATAATATAGTTGTTTATTCAAAGACTTTTTTTCTTTTCTGCAAGATCTCCTGTAACTTTGGGAATGGGGGAAGGGAGGGAAAATGTGTATCTTTTCATATGAGACAAGAAAAAAACCCCAACCAACCATCTGCCTCCGGTAACTCATTTACAACCAGCCCATTCTGTCCATTACTGATTTTATCCTTCTCTCCAAAAGAAAACAAGACTTATTGAAAAGACGTCCAATTTACAGTTGCATAATTTTCTGACACCTTATTTCATCATACCCAAGAAGACAGTATGAGAATGAGTAATGATGCATGCAGGCTAGGATCATCTCTTTGATATGCACTTTGCTTTGCTATTCTGATTTAAGCAAGTACAAAAATTTTAATAAGTCAAAATAAGAACAATTTGTATTATTACTTAGTTATCATGCAATACATTGCTTAAGACCTGAGGACTTATCTGTTATCTATTTAGAAATGTTACCTATTTTGTCAACATGATCAAGTATTAGAAAGCTTTGACACTAGCTTCCAACAATTACAGGTAACAGGATTTTGCTTTCTTTAGATATTAACGTAAACATACAAATATTATACACCTTTTTCCTAGCCTTTTGAGGTCTTTTTCCCCAATGAAATTTAAACACAGTGCATCATATTATTCATTCTTCTTCACTGTATCTTTTTGCATGAATTCTGGAATGCAAATTAGTAATGCCATTTTAATAAGAGGCAAATGACAGCTATACTAAAAATGTATGAAGTTATGTGTGAAAACCATAAGCACTAGGAGTAGCCATCTTAATGTAGGTATACATAACTGTGACTGAGACAGGATTTAGTCCCTAGTCCCGTTATGAAACTTTGTGACTTTACACCAAGGTATCGCCATCTTTTTGTAATTGTTATTTGCTTGCTTCTTATGCTCAGCCTGAATGGGTTTGGGAGAGAAAAAGTTCTTTTAAAATATCTGCATAATATGAAGCTGCAAGTGTCACTATGCTACCTCATCAAGTTACATTTACTGAAGAGGAGGGTTATTTCCATCCAGAGGGAAACTGAGATAGGTAATAGTTTAGTATTAATACAGATTTAAACCTAAACCTCAGTTCTGGCATTAGTTACAGTATACTGTTAAAAAACCAGCAACAAAAAGGCACCCAAATCGTATGACTATTCAGCGCATAAAAGCGTAAGGTAAGCACAAGTCAGAACTGAGCCTTTACTACATTTTCTGTCAGAGATTCTCAGCTGTAGCAATAATTTTAACAAGAATGCCACAGGTTCAACTTCTGGCATTCTTTTTGAGCACGCAGAAAAACCTGAAGAGCACTGCATTAAGCTCAAAATGGAGCTCCACTCTTTCATGGAGAAATACGCTGTTTGGGAACCATGAGTGAACAGGGCATGGCAAAGATACTGAGTGCGCTCTGAAGAGATCTTTATCTACACTACAGATACAAGAATTCTAAAGGCAAATAAAAGGAAACAAAATATTAAGATAAAAAAGCAGGGGGAAGGTCACTGCTATCATTCTTCTGTATTTCATGCATCATAGTTTGCTAACCTCCATCTTATAACTCTCTGAAATTTTAAGCGTTCTCACCCTTCTCTTTCTGAGTACCTGAATAAAACTGCAGCTATAAATTGCATGCACAGGCATCCATTTAGGCTTTTGAGGTTTTTTTCTCTTTTGTCCTTTCTTATTTATGTCACTTATATTTTGTGCCTTTTTGCACAGTAAGCAGCCTCGAATGAGAACGCTGTTCTTCCATATTCCAACACGCACCATTCTCATTTTGTCAACTACCGAAATGGCTAAGGCTCCAATAGTACTAGGAGCCTTTTTGTAAAGTTTTACAGCCTCAGACCTCAAACTCTGTAAAAACAAAGGCAACAAGGAAAAACCCCAACAACAACAAACAAAGAAGTGATCACTGCATAATCATCCCCATTTGACAGATGATCAAGTTACCAGACACCAGGCTCAGCCAACTGGGCAGTTAGAAAATCTATCCAGTTCCTTTAAGTCTTTCAGAACAACCAATGCTTTTACAGAGGAAAAAAACCAACCATCATATATGATCTCCACTACTCAAAATAAACATGACCGACTTCACTGATGCCCTGAAAATGTTTCACAGCTGCAATGAAAGTTACCCATGTTATGCACCTTTTATTTTCCTGCCACTTCGAAAAGCAGGACATTTAACTAGGCCCATCCACAGAGTGCGAATTAAAATTTTGAATTGGCTAAAACAACCTTCTTCATAATTTTACTAGCAAAAGCATTTAATATTCACAAGAGTCTGATTAAAATCCAAAGGTCAGAAAGCTTATGCAGCTTTGTAGACAAAAGTTACAGAAGCATCTAGTGACTTTCAAGCCTAAAACACTTGAACATAAAGCCCACTATCCTCAGAGTATGATTCCATTATGCTAAACAAATTAAAGCTGTTAATTTGATGCACAGCTATTATAAGCATTATATAGAAAGAAATACCTTAGTAAACCTGAGACTGGAAAGCAGCTTCTCAGGATTCAGGAAAATGCAGTTACCTAAGTAATGCTGCATTTGGCACTGTTTTGTAAATCACGACTCTACTTTCCTAAATCCTTGCCTTACAACACCTAATATGATGGGTCTCATTAATAAGCAGCTTCTTTACATTTTGTCTCCTTAATACTCATACTGCAGCTCAGCTGTGCTGACATAAGAATTACTAACTGCCTCAAGGGTGTTTCTACAGCACTTATCTCTATGGTGTCAAGCTTGTTCACAAACATTCACCCATCTTCCCTATCAATCCATGAAATGAGACTTCACTTTTTAAAATGATGGCAAGTTCAAAGAGGAAAAAAGAAAATTAACTTTGCAAGGCTCTTCAGAGACTTTAGACCCTTGTGGTATTTTTTACTTTCCAAAACTGCTGTAGCTGCAAGTGATACACCATTTTGCAAGTCATACTGGAGTATGTGAAGCACTCCAAAACTTGGGGGAGGTGTGTGTGTGTGTAATTTACAACTAGGTATGAAACGTATCCTTCTAGTAATCTGATTTTGGAAAAGGGCAGGTACAGTGTTTTAACTACAATATTCACCCTTCTGGGCTCACATAATTCACTAACTGCCTTCTGACTTCTGTAACACACAGAGAGCAGAGGTCCCTCTTTACTACACTAACTCTTAGTCCAAGCTGGCCCATCCTGTAAAAAAACATGGCATGAAATCTATGCAGTTCCTAAATTTTCTTGAATCAAAAAATGGGAAAAAATGAAAGAAAAAAAAAAGATAAAAAAAGGCTAAGTGGAAACAACAACGATCACAAGAGAATACATCAGGTTTTATAAAATTCATGAAAGTACACCTGAATATACTATTATATTTTGAAGAGTGAAAGGTGTTCTCACCAAAGAATACCAACATGACAAAAGTAGGAGTGGAACTTATGCAATTAATTCTGGTAAATAAAAAAAATAAATTACAAATTTCTCCCAAAGCATGCATTAATGATTTTACTGATAGACAGAAGATATATTTACTGATAGACAGAAGATATATTTATCTGCACGTTTCTCAGAGCATTTCACCTGCTACTTCTGATGAACTCAAAAGCTGACAGGATTAGAACCCACACGCCATAGCACTAGAACTGCAAATACAGATTTTTTTATTTTTTTTTTTTAATTTTAGGAAAGATTCTGTCCTAATTGAAGGGAGCAAATAAAATGTTATTTTAAAAATCTGATATTACAGATAAGCATTAGCACGAATTAGCATGATCATGTTAAGTCTGCTACAAACGGGTGGGAGGGTAGGCAAGGTGGGCTGTAGCAGCTGACAGGAACCTAGGAAAGAGGGACAGGCAGAGGTGGGAAAAGCAGGACTAACTTGACTTTTCCTTATACTTTGTGCATTGCTCATGTTGTCATGCATTCTCTCGTTCATCAAGCAGGACTTCTAAAGACAATATAATTGTTACTACAATTCAGATCACAATATAAACTGGACCTTGAATAGGCCTTTGGACACTATCACAGTTTAAGATCTCGAATTGCTAGACGGACTAATAAACATTTTCAGCAAGTGCCTTTGCAATAAAAATGACCGACATCAGAATCCTACCTAGAAGAGATGTCTCCTTTGCAAATGCTGCAGCAATTGCTGGGTCCAGTGCTGGCTGTCCATCTCCAGATGGAAGATCAGGACGAGTGTAGTCCCTGCTTTTATCGTTGTTGTACTTGACATTCAAATTCACCAATTTGGAAAAATCAATCCGCAGGGTACAGCAAGCATTATATATGTTTTGACCATCTAAGGCCTGGAAAAGGAGTCAATTTATTTAAAAAAAATACACAATACAGGTTGGTTGCACAACATTTTTTTTAAAAAAAAAAACAAGGTCAGTGTACAGATATTTATCCGTTCTTACTGTCTAGCTTAAAACCAATTAAGATTAAAATGCATTAACCTCTCTTAATGTGATTCCAGGAAGCTCAATGTTTACTCCTCTTACCTAGAAACTGTTTATATAGCAAAGTGTATGAACATATTTTAATGTGGTCAAGCTTAAAAGTTAGTCTGTTGAATATAGTTAGTTAACCTGTATTTCATAGTACACCATTAATTCAGACATAAAGCCAAATAACTTTATAAAAAAAATATCAAAAATATTCACATAAGTACTTTTTTTATGTAGAAAATTTACCTGAGGAAAACAAAACACAAAATGTAGACTTAAATACCTTGTTAGACAGCTATCTGTTAAAGCAGAATACTTAAATTGTTCCTGCATGTTTTCCTTCTCCCCTTAATTAGTAATTATTCCCATTAGTGCCAAAATTGACAAAAAAAGCAACTTTATCTGCTAACGTTAGTAACACTTTTTGAAAAAAAAAAAAAAAAATAAAAAAAACCAACACACACACAAAGCAACCCACACCAAAATTGTTACTTCTGAAGGGATGCCTATTAACAGTAAAATTCACATGAACTCTTACCATGACACTACTGAAAACGCTCCCTAAAAAGCCCTTATTATACCCGTTTTGTCCATATTCAAAATATACCAGGCCAATTGATATGCTTGGATTTTATTCCATTTACATTTTGGACATATCTTCCTTTCACTTGCAGCACTAACAGTTAAATATGAGAGATTTTTTAAAAAATTGAAGTTTTCATAACTAAGTTGGCTTATATTCTTCAGAAATGCCAGGAAGACACAACTCATGTTAGAAATTAATCCATTCAATCAAGTCATCATGTTAAATATAGAACTACCTTGTACATACAGATGGTGGAAAAAACCAAATATATCACACTTTCAAATACAAAAATCAGATTTTTTTTCTCTTGATTCATACTGGACTAAAACATGCCCCTTGAGGACCTGAACTGGCTCTTGCACAGTTCACTTGGTTACATCTGTAATGCACTTTCCAACACATTCAAATTCTGGTAGAACTTAATATTTTCCACACTGCACAAACCTAGTGTGCCTGGCTGGGTGTGTAGGTAATGCAGCTATTTTCATACAGTGATGCATCTGAAACCTGAACATCCTGCAGACACCCCTCTGCTAGGTCTGGGCCAGAAAGGCTGTCTCTTCCTCCAAAATTTATTATCAGAAGCTGACATTTCCAGGGCTCATAAGATCTCTTAAAAGAATTACTACCATTAGCAGCCAATGTACAAGAATATGTAAGTCAGTATTATTAGAACTTCCAAGTAATGGGAAAATAATAGTAACGAAAAAAAAGGTGGAGAAATCTGACCGATCTAGACATTATCTCAACAAACATTTATCAGTTAAAAAGGAACTCTTGTGCTTGAAACTCAGCTTAATCAATTTTTTCTATGATACTGGCAAAGCAAAACCTACAGTCCCGATTGATAGTATCACAGAATCATAGAACAACAGGTTGGAAGGGATCTCAAGGATCATCTGGTTCCAACTTTTCTTGGCAAAAGCATGATCTGGGCCAGATGGCCCAGCACCCTGTCAAGCTAAACCTTTTAAGTGTCCAGTGTGGGGGGATCCACCACTTCCCTGAGCTTACTCCAATGGCTGATTGTTCTCACTGTGAAAAATCTTCCTCTTGGGTCCAATCAGAATCTCCACAGGATTAGCTTGTATGCATTACCCATTGTCTTTTCCACGTATCTCCTTGTAAAAAGGGAGACTCCATCTTCTCTGCAGCCACACTTTAAATACTGGAACGTGGTGATAAGATGTTCCCTAAGCCTTCTTCTCTCAGAGCTGAACAAAGCCAATTCTCTCAGCCTTTCCTCATACAGCAGCTTCCAAGTCCTTTCATCATGTCTGTGGGCCTTCCCTGGATCCTCTCTTTTGCATAATGGGGACCAAAACCGAACACAGTATTGCAGGTGTGGCCTGACAGGCACCAAGTCAAGTGGGATACTGATTCTTTATCTCTGCTGGTGATGCCCTTGTTGATGCAACACAGCATTGTGTTGGCTTGCTTTGCCACTGCAGCACACTGTTCGCTCACAGACTTGACAGATTCACAAAATTCAAATGCATGGCATATAATGAGAGGACTTAAAGCTGTATTGTTGTGGTGGTGGTGGTGGGCAGCACCATTACAGAATAGAGAATTTGCTAGTTCTTTTACACACAGTTGCAAAGCAGAATCCAAGACTCCTAATGTTGGTACTTGGGAAAAGAATCTCACTTGAACACTTAAATCTAAAAAAGGCTTCCCATGGATGGCAAGGGAAACAACCAGAACAGAAGGTTGAACAAATAAGAGAAAGGTGCCCACATGGCGACTCTCACCCATCTAGCTTGCGTTCACAAAGGTCTGACCTGACCCGGGCCCAGCTCCAGGGAGAGTCAGGAGGTCTCTCCTTAAGCAGGAAGCTCTATGGAATGCACTCCACAGAGCAGATGCCCCTCCCTTCCTGCAAGTGGTCCCAGCTTTTATCCCCAAGCAGACACCTGACCTTTGTCAACTCAATGCAGGACCCCTGGGGCTCATTTCCCTTATGGCTCTCCCTGCAGGGCCGGCCGCACCCTGGGGGGAAGCTATAAGGCAAACTCACCACCTCTTTATGAAGGGCTGTGGCAATCACCCATATGTCAACCTTAATTTGGGGCTCAGGGTTCTAACCCCAGCATTTCACACACCCTGGGAAAGGCTCCCTGCAACAGAAAAAAGTCTCTTCACCCCACCCACCTCTACCAGCAGAATCATACACCTCCAACAGCACTGAGAAAGACTACCAGCAGCTAGTGTTTTTTCAGGGTTAACTCTTCACATGTAAAGTCACACCTGTGAATTTTTGTGTCCTGAATTCCTTGTATTGCAATAAACCCCACAAACCCTGTTCCTTGCATACAGACATCCTGAAAATAGAGAAGACAGTAGCTATACTGTTAGTGAATGTACATACAGCCATTAACTCAAGGAACTCGAGTTGCTGCTAAGAAACTTCTCTTTTATACATACATTCACATGTGACACACTACCACACCAGACACGTGCTGAAACGAGGTGAAGAAGTATCATGGGACCCTTCTACAAAGCGTATCATTCTTTACCTTGCCTATGCCAAAAAATACATCACTTAAGCTGCAACAACAGAAGTATCAAAACTTACATCATCATGTGATACTAAGAGCATAATGATACTGAAACGGTCCTAGGCCACTGCCTTCCTTTCCTTCCCCTTGTTACTATCAAGTACCTTACTCTGAGGAGTCTCACTGGGACTTCCCCAAAAAAATTATTCTGATGATCACCTCCTACCAAAAGCATGTCAGCAGACAAGATTCCTGAAAAACACACACTGTGGTATTTAGGGGCACACTAACAAGATGGCTAGTAAGAACATGCAGGAGACCAATCCCTTTCTCAGTTCAGACTGACACACAACCCAAAGAGAGAGGCACATGCCTGAACTGACACAGTGACCTCAACTCCACAGTGCACTCCTTTGCATGACCTCAGCTCCACAGTGCAGACACAATCATCTGTACACATTTCTTTATGCCCAGTTAAGATGTTTTGCTAGTGGAAAAAAACAATCAACAGGGGAAAAAAAAACATCAAACCATACAACAAACAAACCCTAGGCCAAACAAACAAAAAAGATTACTCCTAATAATTAAGTATGCTGCATGGTTCTACATCAGCAATGACTGTTAAGAAAGGGAGCAAACCAGAAATAAAGAAAATTACAATAAGTTCCAAAACAGTGGAGTTGGCTGGGAAGAAGACAGCACTCCTAGACAACTACTGCAGTAGAAACATACAAAATGTTAAGAAAGGGTCTTAAGGACCAGGGTTATATTCACAAAGAATACAAAACAGGCTCATGTCTCAAGGCAGCACCTTTCACTGAAGGCAAGAATAAGCAAGGAAGGCCTAACAACACAGGAAATAGCCAAAACAGCCTGGGAAATCATAAGGATCCAGAACCGAGAGCTATGACTGTCACAGACAGTAAAAATGACCATACAGGGAATATCAACAAAATGGAGGTCTGCACCACAAAAACGTAATAATCTCATTTCTTAACAATAATGTCAAACCACCCTCTCTTTTTGCTCATAGCAACCAGAAGGATGAATGGATGAAAACTGCTGACTGAGGAAAAAAAACCCCACAGATTAAGAGGTGGGAAAAGAGACTATTCTAATGGGGAAAAAAAAAAAAAAGTTCAAAAGATAGTATTTTCTCTTGCTGCTGATGTAATCAACCACATGCAAGCTTTTCTGCAAAAAGACAGTAAGAATTTCTATCTAGTCAACATGGACTCATGACACTTGGATGTCTCATCTCCCAATGTGACTGTGGATGTTGAGAGAAGTGATAACAGCAGCAAAGGTGTCCTCAAGCATCAAAAATAATTGTTGCAAAATTTTGTAAGAGCCTGAATGACTAATGCAGCTCTCTGATGCAGCTTCATGCAGATAACAGGCCTATTGGTAGCCTCCAAAGCAGAGAATCAGCATTCCTAGAATTATTTCTTGTTTCAGGCTTCCATCACCTGGATGCAGGCCTTTCTGATATAATGGATAGCATCCACTTTGAACAAAATTAATTTCTTTTGAAATAAGTCTTGGATAAAAAAAGTTTCCGTGGCCAAAGAGTATATGTAAAACATTTCATTCTTGAAAAGCTGGTAGTTTGTTTGGTTTTTTTTTTTTTTTTTTTTGTGGTTTGTTTGTTTTTTAGATGTGCAGTTCCTTGACCAGCTGCACATACCTTACTCTCTTCTACAAAATTACCTGCTGCTGCACTTCCTGGTCTTTCTTATACTACCTACCGTTTCTGAGCACAAATTGTGCTCTTTAGGATTCAAGATGCCTGAAAATCCTCAACACAGTCATCACAGATAATTGCCCTGAAGCTATATCCCTTATCCGGAGATGTCTTTTCTTTCTGTTCTGACAATGACTACCTGCAGTCCCTATTGCGGATTTTAGGCCAATACAGGCCTAGCAAGGTTCTTTTGCAGACTGCTAGCAGTGCAGAGCCTCCCTGAAGCTGTAATTTCAAAACAACTGGAAAGAAGACACCTTTAATGTTGAGTAAAGCTTCAACAGAAGCACTATAGAGGTGCTTTGAATCATCTTCAAGAAAGTCAAGAAAGGACCAACTGTAAGAAAAGCTCTCCATTAGACCTCTGTATGTTAAATGTGTGCTGGGTCAAGATGACCATCACATACCTCAGTTAGTCCTTTATAGATGAGGCATTAATAACTGTCAACACACAAAGTACTCTTGCCCAATCTTGGATATTTACACAAAGACAACACTCTGGATTAGACAGCTGTTCAAACACTGGCACTCTGATAGTTCTGTAGTATAACAAATTACTGATATTCAAATATTTAAGTTTGCTGCTGATAATTTACTATGAAAACAGGTTATTTCTGATGCTTAGAGTATCTCCTTACACATAGACATCTCCAGGATATCACCTTTTGTTTCATTAGAAGCACAGTAGTTCAGTATGTTCTACTACTACACATTCTCAGTACTTTTTCCAGCCTATGGCTAGACTGCTGCATTGCACAGAAGCTGAAGTTTGTCATCTTCACCTTTACTTGCCACTATAATGAACTATAATGATCCAATCTGAGGGTGGTGATGAAACATGAATCAGTGTAGCCATAATCTACACTTGAACAGGAAATGAGTTTCTCACAAAG